TTTCATAATTTACAACTCCTATTACATTTGACTTAAAATTTTTGATAGGGATACAAAACTATAAGAAAATGAAATGCCATAATTTTTTTTTTCATCTGTCAGGATTACCTAGAATCGTTAATTTTACAGACTGAAATGTTTTTACTTATTTACCTAGTCTTGGAGAATAAAAATTTGGGTTATATTATAAAACTCCATGCAAATATGCATATAGAATAAAAAATATGTATCGTAGAAACCAATTAATTTATCTGTTTAAAACTATTGCTTAATTTACAGACAGATTAGTATAATACTGCGTAAGGGCATTGAAATCTATCTGAATCATTTAGAATTACCTATTTAACAGACGGAATATATTCTTTAATAAATTTAAAATTTAAATTTAAATGAAAATAATTACAGCAATAAAATTTCCTGAAATTTTGAGTACAACAGCAACAGCAGGTGTAACAGCAGAAACTCAACCTAAAATTGTAATAAAATTATTATTAAAAACACAAATGCACAATTTTTTGAAAATATTTGTTAATTCGTTTTAAAAAATAAAAATTAAATATAAAGTAAGAATGTTTATGTGAACTATTGATAACACCTAAGATTAAAAAAAAAAAAAAAAACACCATTAAAACAAAAAATGTTGTTATTATAAAACTTATCTCTTGGCTTTTAGTGGATGATTAGAAGTAGCAAGTTTCAGTAACGAAACAAATCTAATAATCATTTTTAATAATAGACACTAGTGAAAAGGTAAGCCAAGTTGTCAATCAACACAAACCATCACAACAATAACATCACAATCACAAAACATACAGACACTGTGGCACTAAACACTGAAAATTCACACTAGTGTCAATGTCTATTTGTTGATGACATAAAAAACATGGTTTTGAATCATCTCAATTTGGAGCTGACCTGTTAACTATCGTTAAAAAGGTTTAAAACTATAATTAGATTGAGGCGCTAAAGCACATTCTATTGCTCTGGATGATATGGTGTATCTGGTAAAGTCTTTAAAAAGCCTTTGCAATCTTGTTGATATTACTATATTGATGAATGGAAACATTTTTACTGTTTCATTTTTATTGCTTGATATTTTATTTTATATTCATTACACCTTTTATTAATTTGTCGATTTTGAAATTTAACGTGATTAATTCTCCGTTTGTTATTCTTTATTTATCAAAAGATAGAGAAGATAGGTTGAGATTCAAATTGGAAACAGAGTGAGTTTCTTCATTATTTTGAGTTTTTGAAAGGCAATTAACTGAATCATTTGTTAAAGGGTTGCATACAAGAGCAGTTGGGGTAATGGAACATGAAAAAATATCACTAGTAATGTTTAACCTTAAATCAGAAGATATAAAATCAGTTACTCGATTTGGAACAACTTCACTATTGTAAATAGAAGTAGAGATCAAATCACCAACATAACAGAAGGAAGAAAATCACCCACATTTTGACTTTTTAAGGGACTTAGCAAGCACTACTTTAGTTATATGGTGTTTAAAGTAATTTGTAAAGAATTCTGACAGATTTGGCCATACCCAAAGTGAGTATTTCTTAAAAAAAAATTCGGTTTTTGAATGAAACAATACTATTTTTTTTTTTTTTTTTTTTAGTGTAATTTATTTCGCCGTTAAAAAATTTTTACATTGCATATACATTTTTATAAATTGATGGCTGGAGCAAGAAGAAGGCACATTTCGCCTTATCGCCGAGCCCCATTAAAAATTCTACATAACCGTGACATACAAATATATATATATAAAAGAAACAATTAGAAATGAAATAGAAAATAACTAATATAATAAAAAAAATAAAAAATAAGAATTAATTAAGAAGCGTTAAGATGCTTAACAGTTGCTAAAATGTTTAAGAAATAAGTTAATATATAAAGAAAAAAAAAAAAATTCCTGAATATAAAAGAAATTGAAAAAATAAAATCTCATAATTAACACTAAATGAATATGTAACATCATCACTTATGACATCATCACTTGTGACATCATCACTTGGATTTCTTATTCTTTTTTTTTTTTTTTTTTTTTTTTTTTTCTTTTTTTCCTTTTTCTTTCTTTTCCTATTCATATTATTGTACTATATATATACTATAGTATTGTTTATATAGTACTACCTTCAATATTTAAAAATTCTAATATCATTTTGGCACTATCAAATGGCTTTACCAGCAACAATTTGGAAGCTAAAATTAAAATTAAACCTAAATAAAATTAACTCAAACTCAAAGAAAAAAGGGATGGATTAATAAAATAGTAAGGGATGGATTAAGAAAATAATATAGGATGGATTAATAAAATAATAAGGGATGGATTAATAAAATAATAAGGGATGGATTAATAAAATAATAAGGGATGGATCAATAAAATTTGCTTTCAATAAACAAAGGTATTAAAATACAAAATGTTTGTGCTTATGTTAAAAACTAAGGGAAGTAGGCCTAATTTTGTTCTATAAAATTTTCAACTAGACTTATATTCGTTGATAAATTTTTAATTTCATAGTAAAATATTTTACTGTTCAAAAATTATGACCATTTAAAATTTGCAACTCCCTCAAATTGAGGGGTTTTAAACTTTATATGTTTATAATTTTTGAACACCAAAATAATTTACGTTAAAATTTTAAATTTATCAATAAATATAAGTCTAGTTGAAAATAGTATAGAAAATACTTCATCAACTTGTTGCTCCCACGTTTGGGGAAGGAGGAAGAGCTAAGATTTTAGGGTTTCTTGTTTCCATATTCTCCTATCACAGTATTTTTTTTTTTTAAGAATCTTTTCATCATACATATGAATGTAAAAATAATTGGAACATTCTTTTTGTTTAAATTAGTAAAAACACTCATCTAATTTTTATTTTCTTCTATGTTTATCCATCAGTAGGATCATCAGGAATAATGTCTAAACCTCAAAAAATTCAAGTTATAGAAAAATTATTTCACAGGAAGTCGGGAATCGATATAATTAATAATGTAATAACCGTAGTATTTTTTGCAACCAGAAAGTTTCATCAACTACATTATATAATTAAAAAATCATAAAAAGAAATCTTCAGGGTGTGTAAACACAGGGTGTGCAAACACACAGGGTGTGTAAACACACAGGGTGTGTAAACACACAGGGTGCGTAAACACACAGATTGTGTAAACACATAGGGTGTGTAAACACACGGGGTGTTTAAACATACAGGGTGTGTAAACACACAGGGTGTGTAAACACCGATGTTAACGATTGCTGTGACGATCTGATTCATCCGATATAGAAGACTAATATTTATATTCATAAGTTTTATTAAATTTTATTAGTTTTACTTATCACTAATAGTGTGTCTAGTTATCTAAATGGTCTTTTTATCAAAAATATAGTTTATCTGTACCTAAAAAGCGTAAAAATAATTAAATATTTTTTCTTTTACAGGACGAGTTTTTTCAAACCACTTTTTCTAAGCTTTTTTAAAAAAAGGTAGAAAATTTTACCTTTTTAATAAAAAGCATTTAAAATGACATTTCGTGGCGCTAGAATTATCTTGTTCTATTTCCATCTTTTGAAAAAAAATGAGTTGCTGAGTTTGTTGCGTACCTCAGAATAATGTTTTTCTGCTGAATTGAAACCTAAGTTGTAAGTAAAAAAGGTGTGGAGAAAACAAGCAACAAGTTATAAAAAAACTTTCAATGCAACCGTCTAAAGTTTTTATTTTTTTAATTGTTTTATCTCAAAACTCAAAAATAAAAAAACAAAATAATTCTAACGCCGTGATTTGTCAATATTAAAAATCTTACGAGTTAAACAATTTAAAATTTTATTAAAACGATCTTTCATTCAATAGATAATTGCTATAAGCTTCAATTTACGTTATTAAAAATTCTAAAAGTAAAATTTATCTAGATATATAACAAAATTGTAATAAAAAATCTATTTTTTTTTTGTCTTGTTGTGCCGGTCTGTGAATTCTGGGTCTTTAACTTATATACTCTGTAAAGTGCTATATCTTGGAAAAGAAACTTATAATATAAAATCATAACCTAAATCATATAAGGAATCCTGAAGTATATTCTTTTCTTTTTTTTAATTTTATTTGGTCATTTAATCGATGTTCTTCTTTATTTGTTTTCAGTTCAAATACTTAATACTAATTTTACTGAATAATTTTAAGGAGACTAAGTACTAGTTTTACTAAATTTTAAGGAGACTAAGTACTAGTTTTACTGAATAATTCTAAGGAGGCTAGAACGGAGTTAAGATTTTTTTAAAGGCATTTTAACTCCTTAATAAAAAAAGATTCACTGTAGTACGTCTGCACAGAAAATTAGAAAACTATATTGTGCAAAATTTTTTGGAGTAGCAACTTTAGTTTTTGTGAATAATTATTATTTTAGGTAGAACATACATTAGATGTTTTACCTCCAATGACGTTGTTTAACAATATACTTATTATTAAAATTAAAAATACTTTTTATGTAAAACATCCAATATTCAGATGATTCATCTTCCACGTCGTTTTTGATAATGTTAATAGTTATTGTGAATATTAATGTATTACGATTTGATCTAATAAAAGGAAGTGATGGGCAGATAAAGAATCATGGGACCCGTGTTTGTGGATACAATATCGTTTTTTGTTATATCAAATTAAAAAAATAATGATTTAATATTTTTCGAGCTTGTATATTTAAATTCTAAACTATTTTATATCAAGAGATGTCATTAAATATTTTAGTTTAATAAATAATTGTACTACAAATAACTTTATACGAAACTAAAAGATTTAACTTTCAAAAGTCAAGGACCTACTTTTAGCGGTCCTGATTAATCATTTAACGAGGTCCTGTCAAGAAAACTTCCCCAGGCTGGGGTTAAAGTTTCTTTCGGCGGCCCTGATTATGATTAATTACTACTTTGTAATATTATATAGTGTGATGCTTTTAATGTTTTGTAACTAATTAGTTTTTACTTAAAAAAAAAATTTTTTTTTTAGAAAAGAAAATCATTTGAGGAAGTGAATGCTTATTATTCATCTGAAGTATCAAAAGAGGAGTTAAATCCATATTATGCTCAACAGAAAAAAAATATAGTAACAAATACTTAAATGTTCTTGTTGTAAGCAAGTAAATTCATTGTTTTGAATTATAAAAATGAGCGAACAATTTTACTTTAATTAAAAAAACATAATTATAAACTTTAAATACGATACAAATAAAGTTAAGAAGATGTTGATATTTTAAACCTCTGAGATTGACTTTGATTAAAACGACATATAATGATTTAGATAAACTTGATTGACCTAGGCATGATTCAAATTGAGAATAATTCGTGACGCGATGGAGGACGATTTATAAATATTTGAAATGTTATTTCTGTAAATTTTTTTAATTTTTTACTTTTTTATATGTTTTGTTTGATTACTTTTTATAAATTAAAAATAACAACTTTGCATAACAATAAACTAAAAATAACTGCGTAAAAAGAGAGTTTATGAGAAGCAATAATGAAAATTTTTTTAATGAGGTTTTCTCTTTTAAAAAAGTTATCTCTTTTAAAGCTGTTTTCTCTTTTAAAGAAGTTTTCTCTTTTAAAGAAGTTTTTTCTTTTAAAGAAGTTTTCTCTTTTAAAGAAAATAACAAAATAGAGTGTTAACATAAATTTTTTATAAATAATTATTTATTTATATTTAGCATTTTGGAATTCCAAAAATATCGTGTAATATATTATTGTACGTTTTGTATAATATTAAGTAAAAATTTTAAAAATTAATTTTTTGCATAAAAGTGCGCCTCGATATATTTTATGCCAATTTTTCGTTGCTACGGCTAATTTTTTTTATCGGCCTTATCTTTTTACTTGTGAATCTTCATCAGTAACGTTTTTTTAACTTTTGAAGCTGTTAAAAATAAAGTAGAGGAAAACGTTAGATGGCGAATGGGGCATTTTCATTTATTTTTTATAGCAACTCGATCACACGTTTTAGCTAGACAAATACTTTTAAAAACTACTATTTTTTTCCAAGAACTTTTAAAAAATTTTAAACTAATGTTAAAAACCATTTGACAATTTTTTTTTATTGAACTGCCTTGACAACCTATACTTATTTAAAATATAAGTCCAAAAATGAGAAATCTTTAAAACGCAATATAACAAAATCTAATCAACAAATCATATTTAATTTCTTTTGGTTTATTTTTTAGCAATAGATAATTCATTTGAACTAAAATGACATATGGAATTTTAATAGAATAAAAAAATAAGCATTTATTATGTATTATTTATTATGTATTCAAAAATCCTATAATGAGAATAAAAAATAAATAATTTCCAATAATTACATTCAATTTTTATAAGATTTTTGTTCAAATTTTATATGTACAAATTTTATATGTATAATGAAGATACTATAAAAATTAACATCTAACTTAAGATTTTTTGTTTTGAAATTATAAATCTCGCAAAATATTAAATTCAATAAAACCCAAAAGAAAGTTGTAATATATTAAAAAATATATATACATTATGTTTAAAGCCTTCTTGATACATAAAATGATGTTTCATTTTGACTTTGTTTATCGGAGTATTTTTTTTTTATTGCTCTGAGACTTTTTGTTCCATTTTTACCTTTTTACTTGACTTTATCACCATGGTTTTTACACGTGAAATACTTTGTTCGTAATATTTAGAGTTTGTAACAATTCTTGATAGTCCGAATAAAAACTAAATATTTTTTAACACCTTCGATACCATCGTTATCGATACCATCATTATAGTGTAAAATTGTTGAAATAATACTATTTCAAAAGCTCTTAGATACATTTTTTTTAGGGCAACGAGACTAAACCAATGCATTAAGAATTTGTATTTTGGGTCTGCCCATTTACACAATTTAACAATGATTCTTCATTTGATAGATCCGTGAGCACTGGTTTTAAATGCTTATTAATTTATAATTAGCAAAAAGCAACCCGTAATACGGGTTTTGGTCCGTCTGTTACATAATTAATTTATAGTGGCTGTTTTCCACAATTTAATGTTGCAAAACCTTAACTAATACCCTTTTAGAAAATTGCCTTCAGTTTGAAAAAATTAATCCATCTGTAAAATTAACATAAAAAGTATGAGGAGGTAAAATAATTTACCAACTACAACTTAACATTTACAATTACTACTTAACATTATTTGAGTAATTAACAAATGGCATAGGTCATAACAGTGTAAGGCAGAACCATTTTCATCGACCTTCCTAAGTTTAACACAATACGTTTTTAGTTACTGACACAAAATAATAACACTTCGTCATGCTTTAAATTGACGAAAGTATCAACGAAATCCTTGTAATAATTTTTATAACACGAACCATTAAGATTAAAATAAAGTTAAAAAGAATAAATTATATTATACAGGAAGTATCAATTTTTTGGTATCCCCTTGATTAACTTTTCTTTAGAAAAGAAAGTTGTTAACTTAAAAATGTTTAATGCACGCATTTAAATAAATTTATTAAAAATAACAAAGTTTATTATAAATAACTAAGCAACTGAGTACAAATACGTTTCAAACAAAAAAAAATTTAATTTACGATCAAACATGGGTGTAATAAATTTGAAAAAATATGTAAACTTAATGCATTAATGCATCATATGACAAACCTAAAATAAAAATTATAACAGATAAGTAGACATTTTTAAAATTTGTAAACCAAGCTGACCCGACCCGGGTCTTGTTAAGTCTGTTCAACACAGACCATTTCTATATCATTTGTTTCGCCTCTTTATTTAATTAATTTTTAGTAAACGATATTTTGCCACCATTTACTAAAAATTCCTTTTGTAACTCGAAATTTAATTTTCTTAAATATTTTGACTCTAATAAAGAGGTTCCTCCCCTCTTTTTGCTTTAATGGTGACCAGGTGAATAAAATAAAATAATAAAATGTAAAACAATGATCTACATATATAAAAATGTTTTCTTTCTTTCCTCAAAAGTCTTGCAAATACAGACTAAGCTAACTAATTAGTTAAACATAAATAAAACTTGAGTAACTCGATATTAATGCGCAAAACTACAATATTCTCCATGTTTTAGTTACGACCACCCATTTACAAAAAACCCCTAAAAATACGTACAACAAATTATTAGGCATAAAATAGATAAAATATAAAATTAACTAATAGCATATATTTATATCTTTTTAATTAACAAAAATTTACAATAAAAAGAAATCAGGTTTTTTTATTTTATAAATCTTATAAATGCGTCATAACGTAATTCTAAAAAAAAAAAGTAATGAAATTATGATATCATAATTACAAAGAAGAAAAAAAACAAAAACCACTACACAATTACCGAAAATCGATTTACCCATTTATAGTAACCTATTTTGAAATAGCAGTTAAAAATTTATCGAAAATGTAACTATAAAATCTGTTTCGAAGAACAAAAGCAGGCTAAAAAAACAGGCTATAAGGATAATTACAAACGTAGACCGTTTCTCTCACACTAAAACATTATTTAATAAACTTAATATTCTAAATGTATATAAACTAAACCTTTACCATATTCTTATCTTCATGTTTAAACTTGATAAAAAAATATCACCAATGTTATTTAATTCACTTTTTGAAAAAATAAACCACATATACCCTACCAGATTTTCAAAAAACAATTACATTCAATCCAAAACACATTATTCAGCAACCAAATTCTCAATTGCAAATCGAGGTCCTAAGCTGTGGAATACAATATTAAATAATGAGCTGAAATCTAATTATTCTTTAAACCAGTTTAAAACAAAACTTAAGCAATTACTGATGATACATGAAAATGAATTAAAGTTCTTCTAAAAAGCTTTTTAAACTAGCAAACAAAAACAAAAATTAACCTACTAATTACTCTTTAATATTATATTTAATATTCTAAACAATAGTCTGCTATTGTAAATGTATTTCTTATCTTATTAGTTTTGAATTTACAAACGATTTTTTAAGTTTTATTATTTGAAATACTAATTACTAAAAATATTGTAAAATTTTATAATTTCAATTTTTATTAAAAAAAGTTATTGTAAATTCTTTTTGTAATATTAATACTTGTATATCATCTTATTTTACTAATCAGTTCTTAAATATAAATACTCTTTGAATTACTAAATATTTTAAATGTTATATATTTTATTTTTTACATTTTGTTAAAATATTTTATTTGATGAATATGCATTTTTTTGGGGGGGCTTAATGATAAGATGAATTTTGTCTTCTTCAAGCCCCAGTCATGTAAATATTTGTTTTTATAAATTACGAGTGTAAATTATTTTCATTCGGCAAATACAATACTAAAAAAAAAAAAAAAAAAAAAAAAAAAAAAAAAGCATTAACAATACTAAAAAAAAAATCAAACTAAGATATAAATTGTTGTCTTGGCTTTTATAGTTTAAACATATATACAACTATAAACAAATATGACTTTATAACACATATAAACAAAATCTATAATTTATATATACAAAATCTATATTACATATACAGAGTACAGAATTCGGGGTAGGAGAGAAATTTTTTTTTTCTTTTGACGGATGGACATCACTTTGAAATCGTCGCTATATGAATATTAACGTTCATGGAAAAAATTCTCAGTTTTGGAGTTTGGGTATAGTGCGAATAACAGGGTCAATTCCAACAGAAAAGTACATTAAACTAATAGAAAAAAACTTAAAGACCATTGTCTTGATTTACACGGCGACATTGTAGATATAATAACCGACGGAGTTAGTGTTATGAAAAAAGTTTGAAGGTCGCTGGTTGCAAATCAACAATTATGTTTTGCCCACGGCATACAACTTGGCAAAAAAAAAAGAGAATTCAATGCAAATCAGCCAGAATTTGAAAATGAATTTTTCGACAGTTATTCATCCAAGAATGAGAATATTGGGGAAGATTTACTGGGCTACAATCATGAAACTTCAAGATCTAAAATTGAACTAAATGAAGTTTATTATGGACCAGTCATTAAAAAAGTACGCAAGTTGATAATAATATTTAGACAATCACCTAATATAGTAGGTGATTGTCTAAAGATGTCGTTCTTATAAAAACGACGTCGTACAAAAATATATTAAGGCTGGATTTGGAAAACAATTATGGATTGCAAAACAAGGTGGAGCTGCCTTCTGTTAATGCTTAAACGATTTTATAAAGTAAAAAATTGTATACAAAAATCATTAATTGATATTTACAATGTGCAAGATAATTCTATAGCTCTGTCGCATGATAATTTGACAATATTATCCGACATTATTACAACTTTAGTTACTATTAAAGCAACGGTTGAAGCAGTTTGTCGCCGAGATTCTAACCTATTTACAGCTGGCATCGCTGTTAATTTAATGCTTACAAAATTAAGAGAAGCTGACAATAACACAAGCAAGGAAATGCGTACAGCTTTGATGGCTCGTATACATGAACGCCGAACT